ATGTCGCATTTTTATAGTATATCACTTCACTGAAGGATATTAATTCACTATTTTTTTACTACATTTGATGTTTTGTAGCATTTAATAGTATTTTACGTTTTGTAGCATAATAAGATTAAAAAAATTGAAACAAATGAGATTAGAATATCTATCTATAAGAAAAGAGGGTTCCTCTTCTTATAATTTATTAGCTACACCAATAGTTGTACATCAAACTAGATGAACCACTATATCTAATTAATCCTTGATTCTTGTAGGTTTTGTAAGTTTATAGGCACATAAAATAGGTACATTTTTGTGGGTTTCTCTTAAACAACCTCCTTCCAGAACATAAATAACATATTCACAAATGCACAATAAACTAAATCCATTTATCTACTTATTTCATCCAAACAAGCTACATGTTCCAATAACTTTATGATCCACCAAATTTTTCAAATTTTCAAATAAACTAAATTCATTTATCTACTTATTTCACCCAAACAAACTACATGTTCCAATAACTTTATGATCCACCAAATTTTTCAAATTTTCAAATAAACTAAATTCATTTATCTACTTATTTCACCCAAACAAACTACATGTTCCAATAACTTTATGATCCACCAAATTTTTCAAATTTTCAAATAAACTAAATTCATTTATCTACTTATTTCACCCAAACAAACTACATGTTCCAATAACTTTATGATCCACCAAATTTTTCAAATTTTCAAATAAACTAAATTCATTTATCTACTTATTTCACCCAAACAAACTACATGTTCCAATAACTTTATGATCCACCAAATTTTTCAAATTTTCAAATAAACTAAATTCATTTATCTACTTATTTCACCCAAACAAACTACATGTTCCAATAACTTTATGATCCACCAAATTTTTCAAATTTTCAAATAAACTAAATTCATTTATCTACTTATTTCACCCAAACAAGCTACATGTTCCAATAACTTTATGATCCACCAAATTTTTCAAATGCAATTTATACATCTTGATAGAAGTCCACTAATAATGTCTACAACATAAATTAAGGAAGACGTTCATCATTTTAAGGGTAATTCTACCGTTGATCATTAAAAGGGATAACGAGCAGAATCGGGAGGAATAATTAAAAAATTTGGAAGTTTAGTCACGACCTAAAAAAAAAGAAAATCTGTATGTGAATGACTTGTAAGGGGAATACAAATTCTAGAAACTGTCCGGGTATACGTTTCAAGGTTTCAGTGGCGATCATATGTGTGTCTTTTCTACAGACGATTCTCGGAAGGCCTCCTTGGCCCCTTTGCCCCATTCGCATTGATGTCTCCGCCGGAATAAAACAACCGATCGTTTGGCATTTACCAAGGAAATGCTCTCCAGATTCTCTAACCTCGCTCGAAATATCCTTGTTCGTTATTAAAGTGGTTATGCAAACAATAAATTATACGAGTAGAAAGTAGTTCCACATCGTCGTTTCACATGGCGCTTCAAGTAGACGAATAATTTTTTTTATTGTTTTTAATTATTCCCCAATTCTGTAGACGTATTTGGTACTTTCAGATGGTGAACGTGGGTTATTGTTGTCCGACGTATCCTTCGATGGATATAAATATTGAATCACATAGTTTAATATACTTAATTGTATTGATTACACTTAAGGTATTTAAATAAAAATGTTATTTAAGTGGTTATTTTACATTAGCTAGTGTATTCAAGTATTAGAAACAAAACTGTTTACGTATCTATAGTATTAGGTAACGTTACAACAAATAATAATTAGATATTATTAATTATTATTTATAGTAGTAGATATAACTTCTAACATTAAATTTGAAATACTAAAAGCAGTAAACTTGTGAAAATGACCAATTTAGAAAATGAAATAATATTTACAACAAAGCTAATTCAATTATAAAATACAAATGTGTGCAATTAATTAGTATCATTACCCTAAACATTCATTGAAATAATTCATCTTATTGTGACACACAATAATGGCTTACCCAAAATTTAAAATAGCTTTTTTTAAATCTAGATAAGAAGATACTGAAGCAGCAGATTTCGTGTATCATACGTTTTGAAAGATCAATATTTATCCTTTTATATATTCTTGTTTGCTCTCTGGTAATTTACATTCACGAATTGTAAGAACTCGCATTATTTTGTAAAATAACAGAGACCAAATTTAAAATGTTTTCAAAACCAATTGTTGTGCATTCTAAGCTGATATATTAAAATTAATGATATTAGTGTGAAAATATTATAAATACATTTTTAAGTAATGATATCATAAAAGACTTATGAGCAATAATAAAAATTGTGCTAGCATATTTAATTCAGAATTGAATGCAAAATTATAAATTAATAATTGCGTACACTCATTGATAACATCCAGTTATTAAATTAATCAAAGAATTTAAATTTGCACTTTCATTATTGTAAAATGTTTTTACAAATATTATAAACAATGTCCAAACTGAATTTTCTTAAAAACAAAGCCTTAAAAATAATTTTGTTATTTCTATTCATTCTTGCATGAAGATTATTACTTAATCCCTTATACCTTGATTTTTTTAGCACCTTATGTATGAAATAATATCTATAATATTTATAACTATTTCAAATTTGCATTCTTTAAAACAACCTCTTTATTACTGTGCTCACGTACTTCAAAATATTTTCAAAAATTGTCTATTTTGCTGAATATTTTTAAATATACTGAAAATAGGTGTATAGGAAACGAGTAAAATACAGCTTCATTTTTCTCCAAATACAAAAAATATAAATGCGTTCCGTAAGAGGAGGGGTAATAAATCTTCGTTTGCAAGTTTCTATCGAGAACGTCAAACACTACACGCGCCCACTTAGTTCGAAATGCCACCGTTCTAACCCACAACTTACTTCAGTGTCGCCGATAAACCGGCTTCAGGTGTTCACCGCGAAAGTTCCTACACCACACCTTTAGATCCAGTTCTTGATCTCTTCGAATCTGTCATATTTATAAACGTTACACTTCTATAAATAGAAATTTACTATGTTACCTATACTGAAATTTTGTTGGTGGCAGAAAACAACCATCACGAAAGCTTTCTTAGGACCAACCCTTATTTTACTTTTCAACACTTTCAAAAAAGTTTTCATATTAAATTTAAAAACGTTAGAAAAGTATACAGAGATTGCTATAAAATTAGCCTTGTGTTTAGACATTTTCGTGTTTGACTTTTCAAACCTGATTTAGGTTAACCTCCTACGGCCTAGCTTAACCTGATCTACTATAACCTAGCTTAACCTAAGTTGAGCAGATCAAGTTAAACTGTAACAGAATTGATGATACAAGATTTGAAGTGGGACTAATAGGTAAAAATAAAAATTAGACGTTGCGATGTATAAACTGGCCATGTATGTATACATGTGTGCTCGAGTTCTAAAATGAAATGAGTACAGTGATGCAGAATAGTACAGTGTATAATGATACAAAGCTACATATTCACATATGTAAGCAACAGATTAAATTAATTTTTGTCAAAGAATTTGTAATATTTAAAGGAAATTCGTGACGTAATGGAACAATATTTCTTAACGAAAATAAGTTCAATATTTTAGAACAAAATGAATCTCATTCTTCTTTAACAAAACTATAAACGGAGGTGTAGAATAATAATTATTCACATATCATCTGATGCAGGTCATGTAAGAGTTACACATGACCTAATCGATTTTAATCGTTCGTTAAGAATTCCAGTAAAAAGCCTTACTTCGAGAAAGATTGAATAGTCTATTACGAGGTCACCGCATAAAGCTTACATAAGAATTAGCTTTGTTCTTAAATAAGATTTATCGAGGCTGCACTTATTTTCGCGTCGCGTCACGTAGCATTTAATTGACGCAATGATTTTACTTTGGAAATCCTAATCTTACCAATGATCGCTTCACGTAACGCTCACAGAAATAGTGTATTCGTAATTTCTGTGAATCCTTAGTATTTACAATGTATTATTAGCATTGACTGTATCAAAGATTTGAATATCTCAATTTCGAAGAAAATCGAATCAGTTATTGATTTTATTCATTCACTTCCGCTTATTGCATATTACTTTGAAATACTAATCTTGTTTACTGCATAATTACCTTATGAATTTATCTGTTCGATGATGCGTTAAAAGTCCAAGGAAAACTATTTATTTTTATAAATAAAAATATTCTTTGAATAAAAGCACGTTCAATAGAAAAGATTATTATGTAATTTAAGGAGTAACATTGTTTTTATCGTGATCCACTTTCAGTTGCTTGTGAATCATAAATAAATAGTACTTCATATTTTTCAAACATTTGAGCTAAAATGAAGATTTCAATTTGCTTGATATATGATTCTCTGTTGATTTGTCATTTCGAGTGTTACATAAGGTAATAACTCAATCACTTCCAGGCCATTACAGTAAATTGCCATTTATTTATTCTGGGAGAAAAAACAGCCATGTAAGTCTCCATGTCAGTAACAGTATGAAGCCTTCGATAAATTCTACTCACACGATTTTTTCAACAAAATTTTACTTCAGTACTGTAAAATGAACTAAATAACTGAAAGTGGAAAATCATATTCTATTCTGAGAACAGAATCGCTTCAAGGCTCTCAAGAAAACACCATTGCAAGAATTTATGCAAATCGAGGAAAACTGGATGCAAAAATCCTGCTAAAAAACACTAAGAAAAAATTATACATTAATATCAATGCCTAAAACGAAGAACAGTACTGTATTGTCAGATCTAACGTGTGTACAATGTTCAAAAATATGTTCTAAATGATTAAATTCAGAATACATTATCGTATTTCTATTTTCCTTGATTACTGCATCTTTGATAAGAAAATAAAGTTGTTTAGCGTACTTAAAAAGCCTGACCACAAATACTTTTCGTTCTAATTATATCTTGTTAGGCGTACGACCGCGTTAACGATCAAAGCGGATAAATCATTAGCGATTAAGTTGATCGCTTTAATTAAGTTTTCATTTCTTTATTAGGTCTCGTGAGGCAGGGAACTTCAAAAAGAGCGCAATGTCAGCTGCAGTGAGGGAGAGAACGACAACGCACACCAGCAGAAAGATCGTGAGTCATGGCGGTCCTATATCTGGACAGATCCAACCAGCGACCACGGCCAACAGCCTCGAAAACAACTTAGGTAAACCTTTAAATGTGCCACCAGAGGTGTAACCCTATCCTTGGATCATTCTTTCTCGACTGATCTTCCATGTATATAGTGTTTCAGAAATAAGCATGCGAACTATAACTTATTGATGTTGCAGGGTGATCAAATTATTATACTAAAAATATTCTGTATTTTATAACATTGATAGAGTTAATAACTGTTTGAGATATTCTTATTGCAATATTACATTATTTTTTGACAAAGTATTTTGTATATGAGACAAGTAGTACAGAATGTGTACATACATGAGTGTACATATATGATACGTGTATTTGAAAGCAAAATTTGAACACTTAAAGTCGTACACTGCATTATATTAATATTATAACGTTATAATTGCATATTCTTTATAACGTCGTTAATATTTCGTCACCCTTTTTTATTTAAAATCGTAAAAATACAAATTTCATAACATGATTTAAGTTGAAGTCAGAGGTTTTGTCCAATCAAGAATAGATGTTCGAAACGTTCGAAAAATGTTATCTATTAACACGTTACTATTATTATAGCTTATTAATAATATCAACTATTAACATTTTGACTGTCACATCACACATATGTGGCTTAATCTTCCATATGAATCATCTGTATTATTAAGAATTTATCCAATAACCTAATTGAAAATATTCGTATTAACTATTTGAAACTATGAATAATAAATATTGTGAGAATATTTGATAAGATTTGTTAGAAACAAAAATACAATCTAATATAATTTTCAGTGATAATAATAGTGTTATATTCGAACGACACCGAGTATAATGGCCGACTACGCATGTCTTTTGTTTTGCGTCTACCTTCTGTCTCTAGCTTTCGCAAAACGCCATCGTTGGTGCTCGTTATATTGCGTTCTAATGTTCTTTAATATAGCGTGTTCCTTATAATTCTACGATTCTATCACTCATCTTCTAAAATCCCAGCTAATAATTGTTAAACTAATTAACAGAGGTGCGACTTTTATATTTATGAGAAAAAAATGTCTCGAATATAATTTACGCATCCACTGTAAGAGGACAGAGGTTGAAGCTTAGGGTAACTACTTAGGAGTGCTGTAAGATGCTGTACTATACACTATAAAATCAGCTCTGTAAATTCAAAAAAATGTCCACTTTCCTTGTTTTTTGACGTGCTTGCCTATTTTATATATATGACAATTGTAAACAATTGAACATATGGGAAACCTTTAATTTTAACACTAAACTTACCCTATATTTTACCTACCTTTATAATTTAACAATAAACCTACCTACCATATAATGTGTACTTAATTTGAAAGTAAAAATGAAGTTAAAAAATAAACAACGAAACATAAATTAGTACACATATTTATTCTGTACCTTGATGCAAATCAATGCTGATTTCAAGAAATGTATTTTAACAAAATGTGTACCTTATAATAAGAACCTTGTGGAGCGGACATTTGACTGGTTTAGTAATTTTAGTGTTGAAAAAGTCATACATGACATGTGTGTTTCATTATTCTGTCAGAACTCATCTTCTAACGAAAAATTATAAAAATTTTGTATACAAATTCTTTAACTTTTGGTGTAAAAATAATAATTTTAATTAGCTATTGAATGAATTAGATTTTATTTAGAAATTACATGTTGTAAATGTTATCTAGTTAATTTAAAGAATTTCTTCTGTTTTAAATGAAATTGATGTTACAGAGGATGTTATAAGAAAATAATGATCAGTAATCGATAATTGATGCTGAGGGTTGCATAAGCATTTCTATCAATATGAATGACGAATGAATTATATTTAATGTAGGACAGCAAGTGACATCATCTCTGTGTATTATATTAAAATCCTATTATACTATGACCTTTCGTAAGAGTAAGATTAATGTTTAGACTAAAAAATGTATAAGATAACATAGTTATCCAGTTACTAAGATATTAATTATCAAGTGACGTCAGAGTTCTTAAAAAGATGTTAGAGTTTCTTACGCATAAACGAAAATACTACAAAGTTCACTCGCTCTTACAAATATTTTGATGAGGGCCTCAATCACAAAGTTTTGTTTTAATTTGCTTTCATTACTTGCATCATTTCATCCGATTTATATTTGCATGCAAAAATACATTAATCATTAATTATCAAGTGTAATTTGTCGATTTATAATCTTATGTGTAGTAATCTTCCATTAACATATTATTCATAAATTCATTAAGTCAAGAAATTTAAAATTCATTCGCATTATTTTACGTTGATTATAATCAGTTAAAAAAGTTTGTAACTTATGAATAAGTGTGATAAATAAATAATATTGTATTTTATTTAGAAAAATGGAATAACATTTTTTATTATAACAAATGGTAATATAATCTGTTGCCAATCAATTAAACGAAAATGAAAGTGAATATTTTATAGAATTGAAATGATTTATTTCTAGGCAATCGTAAGAATAAAGTAGTAATAATCAATTGCTCTATCGACTGCAATAATATGTTTGCAATATATTAATCATTAATTGAACATTGCTTCATTTCAAATGTAATTTAATTTATAACGTTGAACAATAACTTTTCTTTATTAAAAATTTATGTAAACTGCAGCTAATTAGATCCTCAACAGATATTTAATTCTTCCAAGGACGCAACTTAAATTTGATTAAAACTGCAGAAATTTAAACAGAATCAATATTTGACATGATACATATACGTGTATATTCATAAAATCAATTTTCTCACAGCACATTTTAAGGAGAGATAGATAAATAAACGGAAAAACATGAAATAATATGAATATTAATTCTTCACCTCAATAAAAATTATAGATTTCGAGAAAAATTTCTTAATGTATTTTATAATGCAAAATAAAAAACTTGCAAATCATTTGGTCGATTTTAATATTAAAATTGCAAGATTCAAAATAAACAAAAGGACATATTTTATATGATTTCAGATGCTCTTCTCGAAGACTTACAAACAAGTGTCTCAAGAAGCACCACCCCAAGTCGAGGCGTCAGAACCCTTTCGCCACAAGTTGAATACCGTGTAGCTGCAAATCCCACCAAAGTGGTCTCCGAAGGCAGGTGAGTAAATATTACAATCACAAAAAATTCTTCATGAAATTAATGCAACATATTTGGAATACTACTTCCTTAAACACAAATAAAAAATTGCAGCATAGAATGAAAATCGTAAAAACCGCATAAAATAGAAAAACTGATAAACTTTCAATTTCAAACACCCAATAATAAGAAAAAACAAAAAAATACAAAATTTTGGTCTATCTGAGAAATGATATAAAGTAACAATTTTATTCGTAGATTAATAATAAATAAATTTTTATGAAAGCATATTATAAGTCTTCGAACTGACTTGCAGTAGTACAACTTCCAGAGATTCAACACATACTGTGCATGCACATTCACATATGAATAACATTAATTCTCTGCTTTCAATATTTAGCTATTTCTCGTGAAATAAACGCATCGATACGCTTACAGATATACTAAATCAACATTAATGAATTAGCAACATATAGAAATCTAAAATTTCGTGTTACATTTTGTGCTACCAAAATCGACAGGAAACTATGAAAATAATATATGAGTGACTAAATAATTTACTCCAATTTGACATATTTTTAATCAAAATAATAATTGCAATGATTTAATATTTACTGATTAATGTTTGCAAATTAATATTTACTTCTGTGATTGAGTGAAAAATGTCAAAATTACGGTTTGTGATCAAGCCGTATATTCGTTCAGAAAGTTAGCGACATAGTCAGCAATTAGCAAGTTATTCATCTCTGGTATTCGTGGTATTACAAATTAGATAACGTTAGTAGAGATTTTCAGATGGTGCGAAGTATCGAGTTATCTACAGTATTCCAAATATGAAGCGTTCTGAATATGTGCTAAATGGAAATTATAACTTTAGACCAATTTCGCCAAATCGAACAATGACGACCACCACAGAGAAATATGTGAGCAGTGGACCCAGTGGAACACCTAGTGGTATACCTGGCTTGGAATTCATCGACTCAGAATTGCAAAACGTGAGTTCATTTTTTTATTCAAATTTTTAAATCTCTAAATTTTAAGATACTCAAATTTCTAAATTTCAAAAATATGTAATCTCCAAGTTTTCATATTTCCAATTTCCATAATCTCACATGACCTAAATTCTAAAATTCTAAAATTCTAATATTTCTAAATTATTCTATACATTTCAAATTTCCAAATTCTCAAATATTTGAAATTTCCAAATGTCCAAATGCCCAAATTTTCAAATTCGCAAATTCTCAAATACTCAAACACCCAAATTTCAAATATTCAAAATTTCCAAACTCTCAAATCCTCAAATCCTCAAATTCTCAAATTCTCAAACTCTCAAATTTTCAAATCTAAAAATTTCCAAAATTCCAAATTCCCAAATCCCCAAATCCTCAAATCCCAAAATTTCCAAACTCTCAAATCCTCAAATCCTCAAATTCTCAAATTCTCAAATCTTCAAATTTTCAAACTCTCAAACATCAAATCTAAAAATTTCCAAAATTCGAAGTTCCCAAATTCCCAAATCCCCAAATCCCCAAGTCCCCAAATCCCCAAATTTCCAAACTCTCAAATCCTCAAATCCTCAAATTCTCAACTCCTCAACTCCTCAAATCCTCAAATTCTCAAATTCTCAAACTCTCAAACATCAAATCTAAAAATTTCCAAAATTCCAATTCCCCAAATCCAAAAATTTCCAGTCTTAAATTAAAAAATTTACCAATAAAAATTAAACATGCTAATTCTCCAGTAAAAAAATAACATCAAAAGAAAGGACCTCCATATTTAAAAGCCCTCAGACATTACGTTCAAACCAGACGTAATAAAAATACCCCATCTATAATAACGTAACACATAGCGTAATTTAATAACAATTACGAGAAACTAAGTGGAGCAAGATTAGTACCTGCATACATCATAACTCAAATTAATTCCTATCAAATTGAAACGTATATTAAGTACATCATAAATCATTAAAAAAGAGGACAACGCGTTTGCAAACAAATAAGTACCATGAACGAAGAAAATTGTAACACCACGTGAAATCTAAAGAAAGCAACAAGTATCGAGAAGCTAGAATTATAATTTAGAATCGAGCATCGAATTCCGTTCACAAGACTCCAGCGACAGAAACGCGCTATCATAAATCTGGCATCGTAGCATATATATCAGGCATTAGAAGATCATGCAAAGATGCAGAATAGCTGTTACGCGTAATTGCAACGTTTCTTCGCTCGTACAGGCTATAATCTAACATTTAATGAAAATGTAGATTGGTTACACGTGCAATTTACTGTGTACATCCAACGTTCTCCGGATAAACTTTCAGCCCTTCAGGTATGTTAGGACACAGTTCTGATTTGCATACGAAATAACAGCTTCGGGTATGAAAAGCAAAATCTATGAGATAAGTTATTCGTTTAGAATTCCGGTTTAACCATCTCGGAAGTTACGAAAGGCTAAAATTAACTTCGATTCCTTTTTTTAACCGAAAAGCGTTCCGCGGGATTTTAATCAACAACATGACATAAGATACGGTATACAGTTGTGCTCATAATGTTCTGCGTAATGGTGCTGCAATTAAGATGCAATTCTGAATAAATGTCTTCCATTATGCCGAGATAAAATGTGACAAAAGTCAATATTAAAATTACAATTTTGGAAACTTTTAACTAGTTCAAAAATAAATAGTTCCCAGTTCTTTGTTTCACGAATGTTGTGTGTATATAACACTGAATAAACGTGCGATTAAAATTTGGTATAGTTTTAATTTGACAAGGTTGATAAACAAAAAAGGCCTAATATTAAGCTTTCTTACTTATATAATGTTATTATACAATCACTGATATTGTAGATTTTATTTTATGATATATTTCAGTATTGTTTTAAATTATTGCTATTTTTGTTTTATGTAATTTTTCAAAACAAAACTGCTGAACTATAGTAATACAAAATTATTTAAGTTTTTCTTTTTATTATTTTGCTTTTATACTTATTATTTTGCTTCTATATATAATGTTAGATGTATCCTGTTGTATATTATCAAGCAACTGGGTTTTGCTAATATCATATCATATCACAACATTATAAGCTAAAAACACTTATTTATTTTTCCTCCAATGTTATTACAAACACTATAATATTTATTACAAACTTTACATTTTCTCATACACTGTATAATACTCTACATACACTTCTCACTTTGCATTAAAATTTTTTAAGATTTGGAATAGTTTTCAATGGTATGATTATAGAATCAGAAATGTAATATTAAAATAGTATAATATGTATTTACATTATGTTACTAAGCATACAAATATCACTTATATTTTAATTACGAAACGTTACAATGTATCTATTTACACACTTATATATTTGCAAAATTCTATGTTTGAATGAATGGATTTAAAATATTCGAAAAATGTATTAATACAATTATTTTACCAACACATTTTTAATAATTTAAGTCAATCGTAATATAAACAACTTCGATTCCTTTTTTTTAATCGAAAATTTATAAGCGTTCCGCTTAAATTTTAATCAACAACGTGACATAAGATACTCGGTATACAGTTGTGCTCATAATGTTCCCCGTAATGATGCTGCAATTAAGATGCAATTCTGAATAATTGTCTGACAGTTCCAGACAGTCGTTTATGGAACCCGTTTTCACTTATGAGAATTTAATGACCGATGTTTTATTCTTTTGTAAAATCAAGGTGAAATGGAAACATCGGAGAAAATGAACGTTGAAACGTTTGTTCATGAAATAGATGTTCATTGTTCATATAATGTAACTTTGTTCGATGTCATTCTGTTGCAAGATCGATCGCTTTTTCATTTTGTTCCAAATAATTTCACAAAAATGATTCGTGTGAAATTAGACATTTGGTTTTGGATTTGTTGCAAAAATACAATCCTTCAAACTTTGCAGTTTTTATCCATTTTTGTATAAAGTAGACTTTTACCTATTTTTATATAAGTAGACTTTCATCTATTTTTATATAAATAGACTACTTTTGTACAAAGAGATATTGTGCATCTGTGTTTATGAATTTCTACTTTTATAAAAATTGTCCGTAAATCTAGTGTTAACTTTATTTGTCAAAATTTATTATTTTATGATATATCTCTACATTCGATATACAATAGTTGAACAGACCAGATAAATTAGATATTTCTATTACGTATTTAACGCGTATACTGATTACTGTTTTACATAGCCACTTAAAGATTCATCAAGACAAATCAAGACCTAATGACAAAATATTTTGAAACTTGATTGTACTACTAATATGCTTGAAAGATTTGAAAGGTAGCACACGATTGCCTACGTAACATGGTCGTCTCGATGAAATATTCATTGGCCCTGAGTGTACAGAAATTCTACGTGATTCAAACACTGTTACCGATCCGCCAACGCATCTTGCGTACCACGTTCGTTATAATTACGGTCTTATAAGGAGAGTCGTCTAGCTACAACCCACATGTTTCGCGTTAAACGTATAGTGATTCTTCGTTTTACAGACCTACACTACCGTCCATAAGTATCCGGACACAAGCGAAATATGCATTCGCGTTGCATCAAAGTTATTCAAGTATCTGCAACAGTAACTAAAATCGATTTTTTTTTCTGCGAAGGTCAGAATACTGGAACGTTTTTCGATTGATAATTCTCGTTTGGAACTCATAGCTCGATGGAAAAGAAGCTGCAGACGAACTAAACCGAAACTGTCGAGTGCGTAGCGTTACCTCCATTCTTATCTCCATTGAAGGAACCTAAACATCTACCAACAGTTTACAAACACTTGAAACATATCGAAGAACCCCCTGAATACGTTCTGCACCATAGAAATGAAACACAGTATAAATTAAAATTTTTTTAGAATCGAAAGCGTTTCATTAGATTCACAAATTTGGACTTTGTACTTCTGGACATGAATTTTACTTTCACACTTTCATTGTATAATTTGTACTTAAAAATTAATTCTATTACGTTA